ACTGATAATTTTTTCCTTAGACAGCTTTAACCAGGTGATCTTTACAACAGAGAAGAATTGTGTTTTCTTTGAGGTACAGACTGAATTCTTAAATGTTATTTAGGCGAACTCAAGTTTAAAAGTGTTAATGTTTATTTTATTGGATAATTTATAAAATACAAGATTGTCAGAAAAGTGATCATAAGCCATGTTGTTGAGCTCTTATCACCGCGAATGTTCGAAATTGTTCCCTGCGTGGACTGGAGTTGTTGAGTGTCTGTTTATACCATCCATCTGTGCTGTTTCTCCTCAACGGAACTGAGAACTGTTGCTTTCAGTAACTTACTGGATTTAATGAAGTTTACGCCTCACGGCTTTCTCTCTGATTCTTTAACAAGGTGTGGGAAGAATTCCTTTTGCCAGTTCAATATATTCTCGTAAAACATTTTGCTGTAACCTAAAACATCGCCAGATTTGGATTTATAGTGTGATTCTAAAATTCTCTAGTATCATCATGGAAATATTTTATTTTGGGCATTGAATGAACAGAAGATAAGGCTTTACCAAATTTCAGTTATTGTAGTCTTTATACACAAATTTTGAAAATAAATTAAATTCACGTAGATGAGTATGTAAAGAACATTAAAAATAGGTATCCATGTTAACGATTACCTGTTCGTCTTGAAAGATCCGATATCAGACATATCAATTAAGAATGTAAAAGCTTTCGAATTATTAAGGGGACCGGGGCATGTAGCACGCATGAAAAAGACCTGAAGTCTATAAAAATTTGAGACGGAAAAGTGAAGGAAAGATGGCACTTAGCAAACCTAAGCATGGATGAGAGATAATATTAAAATGGATCTTAAGAAATATGATGTGAGGATGTGGATCAGGTTGATTGATCTCTTGATATCTATCTTCCATTAGAATTGTTTGTCAAGCTGTCAGCTACTCCAGGCAGACTTTGCTCAATGTAGTCAGTTTAGTTTAAACAAGGATTAAGCTCTTAAGTAGCAGAATATGAGCTTACTGTTAACTTCTATAACTCCTTATGCACATAAGTGGACACGTTAGTAAAACATGATTATACACGTGTACAGTGTACACTTAACAAGTGTGTTCTAAGTAGTTGCAACACTAAACTGGCGTAAAATGAGTTAATTTTGGGATGATCCACGGAAGTAGCTCTTCATGTCTGGTGTTGATATTAATTAAGATTATCAAGAAGTCAAAAGTATGTACTAAATAATCAACAAGAAGGCTTCAATTTTCGCTGTTAAATCACGTACTAGAATAAAATTAAATACATTTGTTTATTACACGTTTCAAATTTGTATTGTATTAGAGCAATAAATTAATGGAATGAAAACACAAGAAGTTAACGTGGACTAAAGTCAAAGAACTCACTTTTTTCTTTTTTGTTTAATTTGTTATTCTTGAAACAGCTGTTTTTGTATAATTGATCTATTGTGATAAAATTACATCAAGAGATTCTTGTGCTGTTTTATTAGGTAGTCGTCAAAAGTGTCTGATCTGAATGAAAATTGAAATAACTTGTCAATTTTTCATAAAATTCTCTATTATCAAAGTTAATCGAAATAGGTTTTGTCAGACCTCGAGTTATCTCATACGTACCCGCTTCAAGTTGACTGGGCATGGAATGTTTGCTGTTGGAATCTAGACGTAACTAACCCCCGAAGGCCCTTCGCCGTGTTGTTATTCAGGGAGAGAGAGAGAGAGAGATGACAGAGCTCTCTCGCTCCTCTTCCCTTTATGCTACTCATTTATTATAACATACACGCGCCATATTTCAAGCACATGCTGAGTCCCCAGTTTCCCCTACTGGTACTTACCGGTCCCTTTTGTTATGCTTTCTTCTCACGAAGTATACAAAATGTACGCAAAATGGGGAGGTCATGTCTCTTCGTCCACGTCTTAGGCTAAATTTACAAATGCTTGCGGGATTTATAAAATACCAGTATAAGTAAAAGTAAGGTGACGTCAGTCAGATTGCCTGTTTCGCCTTCATTTTGGTCAGGTTTTGTTACTGCGTTCTTGTTTTCAGTTATAGTGAGTCCCGTGTACATTCTTTGACCCCTGGATGGATTTCGGTGAAATTTTGGTTCTGGACGTGAACGCTAACATGTAGGGAGACTTTAATTGTCATTTGTTTTTATCCAATATAAAATAAGTTACTTTTAAGTAGACTAAAAGTTGTTTATTTTATTAAAAAATTTCCGATCGTTCAGAAGTTGGCCGCTTATCACGCGATATAGATTTTATCAAAGTCTGTTATTTTTGTTGAAAAAAGTTTCCGATGTGTTGAATATTTAATGGAACACCAGGAACAACGACGCAGTTACGATGACCTTGAATTCAATTTCTGTTGACTATTAAACAAAGACACGCTAGTGTAATGGCAGTTGCGTTTGTGTGACACTGAGGAAAAGAGTGGTCAGTTTTGGAAAAAAGATGTACGCCTACAAAAATAATATCCCGATAAAAATCATCAAAATATTGCCAAAAAATTTTCCCTTTCAAGGAGAAAGCCTATAATTTGGCGCTGTCTTGATGATATTTGTGAGACAATAAGTAATCAGTCTGAATTAACAACCACCCCCGATGTAACGCCAATTTACGTTGGGGAAACCGCGTGGCGTTCTATCGGGGTTCGATTGTAATTTATTTTACATTTTTACAGTACATAAATTATTTAGAGTCATGTATAAGCATGGCTGTAAATTATAAATTTAAAAGGAATTATAATATCCTAGCATCTGCACGTATGGTCTTTCGCAACTTCATGTCTTTTCTTAAGGATAACCAACTTCTGTGCGAGAATTTAATCTAGAACATTCGAAACAACGGAGTTATGGGCTGTAAACTTTTGTGCTTGTTTGTAAGTCCGTCTGTTGTCGCTGTAACTGAAATAGAATATTATTATTGGAGTGGTTAATAAAAGGAATTCTGTGAAACTCGGTAGAATGAATTGAACCCAATTGAAGCCCGCCACGTGTTGATTATTAAAACCTCCCAGTCTTCTGCTATCTGTACAGAAATTATGATCGTAATAACAAACACTCAGGGCAAAAACAATTCTAGCTGCGTGCAGTGCAGATTTTTAATTTTTTTATGGGATTAAAACTTGGAGTGTCACGTTGAGGGAATATCAGAGCTTGAGTGTATTTGAGAAACAGGATTGTGAGGAGAATATTTGGACGTAAGAGGGACGAATTGACAGACTGGAGAAAATTACACAATAGGGAACTTCTTAATTTAAACACTTCACCAAATATTATCAGGATGATCTGAGAGGATAAGATGGAAAATTCTTGCAACACTTTGGTTGGAAAACCTAAAACGAAGAGACTATTTCTAAGACTATGAGTATCTGGAAGATAGTAACAAAAGTAATCTTATAGATATGGGAGGGGGGGGGGCAGAAACTGGATTTATCTTGCTCAGAACAATGACCAGGGGCTGATGTGGTAATGACTTTTTTGGGTTCCTTGAAAGGTTAGATATTTCATGGCGTGCTGAGCGACTGTTAGCGTCTAAATAATGACTTTTTTCCATCTGGTTGGTTGGTTAGGTTAGGTTAGTTAGATTTTGAAGAAATTTCAAGTTTTGTCAAGGAAAATGATAATATTAAAGTGAATCTTAGCAAAATAGTGTCTGAGGTTTGGGTTGTGTTCATCCGGTGGTCCTCCGAATAGCTTTTATGAATATGGTATCGAACCAAGAGGACAAAGTGACCTGATTTAGTGACTGGGCCCCTCACAATCGCGTGTCTTGTTATCAAACTGTACCCGCCCCCCGCTGCTTGCAATATTCCGACATATAACACGTTTTAAGCGTCCTTTTGCGTTTCGAATTGCGGGATGTGATGAATATAAATATAACGGGGGAATAGGATAAAGAGGGAGCTAGATACATAAGAGGGAAGTAGCTTTAGTGACGGAGAAGTATACTGAATTGCTTAGTGGGGGTGAGATCTGGGTGGGAGGTGAAAAGGGGTTGAGCTGAAAGGAATAACTCCATGGGAGGTCCTCTGTAATTACATTTTAGTTTTTAATGAGGATGGAAGAAAGAGAGGAACACACGTAGGGGGGGGGGGGAGATGTTGATTGTGCTCTGCGGTCTCCTGGCAACGCCGTTCCAGAATTATCTTATCTCGGTCGTACGACTTCTCGACCTACAGATGTAAACAGCGATTTTAGATAGATCGCGGGCGGGTTTATTGCCGAAGTGTGTAGCAGATTTTATGATTGCTCTGTTCTTCATTATTGTATGTGTTGATCAGGCCAGAATAAGAACCACTCTGAACGCAAGATTATCCCTTCACCTGATTTAACAGTTGGTAACTTTGTATTTTTTACATGGTGCGTACGTATTCATAGCTTTTTTTGATTTTCAAATAAACAACGATTATTTCCTTAAACAGCAGTGTTTTCGCTGAGGTAAGAACCGCTTTCTTGATATTATTTAGATGGCCTTCGTACACTTAGGCAGGTCAGTGTGTAATTTATTTCTTACCATAACAGGTCTTTCTATAAGAGAAAATCCTCGGTGTTTATTTATGCTCGAAGTATCAAATTGCCAGCAACAAAGTCTATCGTAGGACACGATCCAAAGACAGTTCCGTCAGTTTCTACCCTCAGAATTATTACCAACTTAATGTTTTCTCCCATTTAATTTTCAGTCTTCAATTTGGCCTCTTTACTAAAATGTTGTGTGCATTTCTTCTGTCCCCTTCCGAAATAAACCCATTGTGTTCGCTTGGAATTCACTGCTGATTAGTAAGAAGTATCTCCTTAATGTATTTTTCTCTTATTACATAATTAATATATTTCTAGCCTATTTATTGTTCGTAATTATCAATTTCAGATAATATTATTAACTTTCTATGCACTGTGGGGTAACAAGTTCTACAATTTCTTGTTGTTAGACGTGAATGCATTAATAATGTTGAATCCATTCGTTACTCGTTTAAATCGGTTCAGACATTTATCACTTACCTGACCGTCGGAACCAATCAGATCGTCTTCGGCCGTAGGCAGCTCCACCGTTCCAAACAGTCGCCGTGGCAGGGCGAAAAGTGCTTCTCGCCATCCTGTACAGAATAATCTGTCGTCAAAACAATCGTGCACACTGGCGCATATGGTCTGGGTTTTGCCAAATGCGCGAACCAGGTTGGCAACAATCTTACAGACACAAATACGCCAAATTTCAAGAGCACCGTTCTATTAAAGACCGGTACGTCTGAGTCCTTTTTTCAAAATAATGTTATCCTGGCTTACTTTAAGATACTGTCACAACATATACTTGAAGGAACTAAGGAAAAACACGATA